GAGTGTTCGCTTTGCGCGCGCTTTCGGACGGTCGCACGCAGGCCGGTGGCGTAGAATGATCTGACTTTTTTCGAACGTTTTGAATGTTTGTTTCGCCCTCGTTGGAACGGTCGCTTTGCGCGCATGTATTCGGACGGCCGCACGCTGGCTCGTGCGGGGGAATGCATGAGACTGGGTGGACAGCTGCGTTGGATTTTTTCGAGTGCATGGAAGGACGCGATCATCGCGAAATGTGTGACATGATGTTTGGGTTTTTGTTGACTTTCGGAGGGGAAAGGCATGATTGCTGTAGTTCGTAAGGGGCCATTTGCGCGAATTTATTGAGGGGGGGGGGTCGGGGTGTTGTACGTGGCTGTTGGGATTCAAAAGAACGTCGTGGGTTGAGCAATGCAGCAGGGAGTTTTGGTGAACCTTTGCTGGCGTGCTTTCCTATAGTTTGACGTACAGTGCTTCGGTCCGGTGAAACTCTGTATCCGCCGCCGCGTGCATGTCGTGCTTTCGCAGCTGTGGCGCCCTGCGTGATGTTTGCGAGAGCGTGCGCTCGTTTTGAAGGGCATCGCCGTCGTACATGTTACACATGTAGCACGCGCCGAATTGCGATCGCGAGTCCTTGCGCGCATTCTGATGGGCGCCACAGGCACAGAGTTGCGCCATTCATGTTGCTGGGCCAGGCGATGAACGTCGCGCCTTGCCCGCTCACCTCCTAACAGTTTGCCCTCGCTGTTTCACCACCCACCAAACCACCCCAACCCAACCCGAAGGCCTCAATTTGCCGTCCATTTCCAGTTGGGGGGGGGGTCGGGAAACATAGAAACAACACATGTGGAACCCTTACCCCCCCCAACCCGAAATTCGGGTCTTCGGGTTGGGTTGGGGTGGGCGCGGGCTTCTCCTCCCGAAGACCTCCTGCTTCTCCTCCTCCCTCCTCATCCCTCCATCTCCTCCTCCTCCTCCCTCCTCCTCCTCCTCCCTCCTCCTCCTCCTCCTCCTGCTCCTCCTCCTCCTCCTCCTCCTCCCTCCCCCCCTCCTCCTCCTCCCGGACCTGGGCTGTCCCGAAGACCCGAAATTCGGGTCTTCGGGAGAGGAGGGGCAGGAGGCAGTCAATTTTGACGTGGGCGCGAACGTCCTACCGATTCGCCACGACATCGCTGCATGGGGGCCCCGCGAGGACACCCCCGCAGTTTTCATTGTCGAACAAAAAACCATAGAACGTCATCGACATTTTCGGGTCCATGCGAATTTTGAGAACAACGACATTTTCGGGTCCACGCGTCCATTTTCGGGTCCATTTTCGGGTCCACGCGTCCATTTTCGGGTCCACGCGTCCATTTTCGGGTCCACGCGTCCACGCGTCCATTTTCGGGTCCATTTTCGGGTCCATGCGACATTTTCGGGTCCATGCGAAATTTTCGGGTCCATCGACCCCCCCCCGAAAGAACAGCATTCCAGAGCGCCCTCCAACTTTCCTCCGAAGCCACCCCGAAATCCGACGAGGTCGACGACGACGACGACGACTACGACGACGCCGACCTCCAACCTCGCCCCTGCGTGCGATTGCTCATCCTAGATTCGTCGTTTACAGCCCCAGGGCCCGAAGGCGGTCCCACACTGCCGACATCGAACTGTGGAGGCGCGCCACAACAGCGTTTGCGCGGTTCTAGACCTGGCCGAAGCATTTCTCCAGCCACCCTTCGCCTCCCGTCCCCGCCCCTATTGTCTCTCCGTCCTCCTGCGCCCTCCTCATCGTTTCTGTTTCCTCCTGCCTCCTCCCTCCTTTCCCCCCCTGGGTTCCGTACGAGGGGTGTGCCGGAATGGGTGCGGCCAGACCGCCCCCGCCCGTCGTCGTCGTCGTCGACGACGTCGTCGTCGTCGTCGCCCACCCCTGCGCGGCCCCGCGCTCGAAACCTACGAGAGACGCGGGGGAGAAGATCTATTTGAAGATTGTCCGCTGGGCTTTGGGCTCGCATGGAGAAGTGCGAGAGCGCGCCCTTCGTTCGTGGGCGAATTGAAAAGCGCCATGACTACAGCCTCACAGGGGACCTCGCGGGCCCGCTGGTGTTCATCGAGCCCCGCACGTCGGAGCCGCTCACTTCCCGCACTTCCAGGATAACCCGAACAGGCGCGGCAGGGCCATCGCCGCGGCGGCGTGCCAAGGGCGCACCATGCGAGGAGGCGACGGGGCGAGGGAACGGCAACCCCGGGCAGCCTACGGCCGAACCTGCTGGGCGCGAGCGGTCCGCAGCCATGCTTTCTCTCGGCCCCGTCGGCTCTCGCCCCAGGCCGTCGGCTGTCCGGCGCGCCGCTCCCTCGGTCGACGTCGCCCAGGCGTGATCGTGGACTGCGGCCGACGCGAGGTCGGGAACGGCAAGAAGGATGGATTGGCGGCTGCGCTGCCTTCGCGCGCCACCCGCCGCGAGGACCTCCTGCTCGCGCGGGCGCCGCGCGCCGAGTCTTCCCCGACAGGGCCGCCGGGGGGTTCGCGGAAGCAGGCGGGGCAGGTCGGCGCAACAGGGGGGCGGCGGCCATCGCCAGAGAGTTCAGCGTCACCGAGTTTATCCGCGAGGCCTGAGTTGAGGAGCGGCCCGACCGAGCCGCGCCTTCTCTCGAGCGTCCAACTGTTTGGCCTCGCGCCGTGGACGACCCGCGCGCCCTCTCGGGGCGACAGGCGCGCGTCGTGGGAACTCCGAGCTGCGTTCTGCCCAACGCGCCGCTCTGCCCAGCGGCCGCCAGCCAGCTAGCTCTTTTTGCTCCGCGCAGCGGGCGACCCGCGCGCGTCGGTGGAACCACTTCGGGGCGGCGGCCGGCGCCCCATAATCGCGACTGCGGTGTTCTCAGGCGCGCGTGGTAGGGTCCTTCGCCACGTTGACTGTTCAAGATTAGCGGTTGGCAGTCGATTCGGGCTGCGCGCTGGTTGCGGGCGTCTGCGTCAATAAAATAGGAACACTGTAATATACGAGGGCCAGCGGCTGCGAGGGTGCTCGCCCCTCGTTGTGTTCGAGGGTTCGTGGCCTCGGTCGGGCACATTGCCGAACTTGCAGGAAACAGACGGCGGGGGGGGGGGGCAAAAAAAACGCCCCCGTGAACGCGCATCCCCCAACAAAGCAGTACACAGTGGAGGCCCAGGCCAAGAAACATCCTGCTTACCTCCTGGGTGCCTTGGGTATTGACTGTTTCGATAGTTTCGCCATGGAAGCGCGACGCTCCCACGCCAAAAATCGATGGACGACATAGGTGTATCAGGATTGGGCTTCCCGTGGAAGGTTTCTTTTGGTCGGGCCCCGACAGCATTCCCAAACTGAACAATCGATTGTGCTGTGGGGCGGCCTCCGTGGGGCGGGTTCGCAGCTCGGGGGCGCGAGGTGGTGTAGCGTTGCTGTGGGTTGTGGTCCCGGGAGCAATCATTTCACCCAGTTCGAAAGAACGACTGTCGTTTATAGGGGGCGCGAGTGTTTCGTTGTTTTGAAGTGATTGCGACCTGGGTCTTGTGAAAACGCTGCAGTGCACAATCAATCGTGGCATCGGGCGCGCAAGCGCGTGGTAATTTACCACGGGTACGTCCTCGAGCATGAGGACGCGCAACGAGTTACAAATAAGATCTGCCCCGGGATCGCGCCATTGAGGTGGTGCATTTGGGATTGTGACTTGGGGAGCGCGAGTTATGGTCCATGTTTTTTGGGGGGGAGGGGGCCTCGGGAGTGCCAGCGCGCTGTACTTCACTCACAAGGGTGTGGGTTCGGCGGAGTCAGTGGGTGAGCGAACTTGCGTGTGATGAGTGAGCTTGAGTGAAGAACCGGGGGAACGATAATGAATATGAAGTATAAGTGACGTGGGTGTAGCAGGAGGAGGGGGATGAGGAGGGGGGAAACTGGGTGGGAGCTGGCGCCGTCCACATAAACCGCGTGTTTACAACAGGAGCGGAAGGAGGGACGGAACGTGGGAGTAGGAGGCGTAGGCGTTGTCAGAAGAACCCCATCTTAGGATATGGAAAGACATGGGGGGAGGAGGGAGAGGAGGAGGATAATCACTGCAGACCTCAGATCAATCAGCGGTGTACCGGAAGTGAAGTGCCCCAATGGGAGACAACCGTATGAAGAGCCTGAAGCGTGCTGAACTACATCTGCGGAACTCCAACGCCACCAATCGGCGTGACTGCCGCGTCTTGACGGTCTTGAACAGCGCGGGGCTTCGCAGCGAATCAACGTAACTGTTGCCTTTTTGCCAATCATGAACCGTTCCAAAGCACCGTGGCTGGTACGTCAACCATAGGAAACAGCAACAATCTTACACTGTCTTGAGAAAAACAGAAAAATGTGCGCAGCGTTGAGGCGAGGGCCACATTTTGAAGGAGGTACCGCGCCAAACCCGCTAAACAGTTGCATCTGTTAAGGCGAATGTGCGCGGCGCGAAAACTGAGAGCCACAGTTGTTTTATTTAGATAAAAAACTACCAGCCCTCAATCCGTGACGCTCTGGCAACTGTTTAAGCGAATGCGCGCGGCATTCAGGCGAGAGCCACAGTTTGGAAACCACCCGCCCTCAATCCGCGAAGCTCTGACATGTGTGTTAAACGATTGCGCACGGCGCTCAGGCGAGTCTACATTTTGAAAAATGCTCGCCCCCCAATCCGTGAAGTTGTTTCCATACTGTAAGCTTCAGGGTCATAGATGGTGAGGAATTCTTAGGCGAAATGCCCAGCACATCCTTTCGTCCGGCTTCGGGGTGCGACAGGGAGGAGTTATTTGTAAGGACAAGGAATGGAGGATGAGGAGGAGGAGGAAGAAGAGGAGGAGGAGGAGGAGGAAAAGGAGGGGGAGGGTGCGCGGGGGAGGAGGAGGAGGACGGGGAAGAGGAGGGGGGGGAGGAGGAAGAGGGAGCTCGGGAGGGGGAGGGGGGGGAAGAGGAGGAGGGTGAACAAAGGAGGGCGGGGGAGAAGGAGGACAAAGAAGGCAGAAAACACTTCGTGGCGCCCCTCGCCCACCCCGTTGCGCGCGGCCACCCGAGGTGGCGGACCGCTCGGAGCGCCGCTTCGCCGCCGCCGCCCCGGAGGACGACCTCGCGCAGGAGATGACGCACGACCTGGAGATGAACTTCAACAAGGCGGCTGCAATGTTTTCCCATTCTGTGGTATTGGGTCCTCGTCCTCGTCTTGAAGAGACAGCGCTCCGCGTCTCCTTCCCCCTCCTCCTCCTTCCTCCTCCTCCCATGCCTGCCTCTGCCTTCCGCATGTCCGCTTCGTTACACCCCTCACACGCTTCGTGTCGCCAAAGGGAGCTCTACCTAAGGAGATGAACTTCAAAAAGGCGGCGACATTTCTTTCACGGGCGCCGACCCATGAGATCCTCGGGGGTCGGGGGTCGTTTTGTGGCCACCGCCCCTACCCGCGTACCCTGTGCCAGACCAGCTTGCTTGCGGGGGTGGTGTGCAAACACTCTGTCCCTGGAGTGTGGGGGGGGGGGGCACTTTTCGTACACGAATCCCGCTTTGTGGTCTTGTATTGGACCAGCTTGCTTGTGGGGGCGCGCACAGAACTCGCGATGCCAAGAAGGAGAAACGTTACACGTGTTCGCTCATGGACCCCTTGTTAGCGCGAGGTATTTTGCCCTCGCGCCTATGACCGCCGAACACCCTGCCTGGCCGCCGTCCTGACCGCCGAAAGACCGCCGAAAGACCGCCAGAAGACCGCCGAGAGACCGCCGAAAGACCGCCGAAAGACCGCCGAAGACCGCCGAAAGACCGCCGAAAGACCGCCGGAGACCGCTGGAAGACCGCCGAAAGACCGCCAAAAGACCGCCGGAAGACCGCCGAAAGACCGCCGGAAGACCGCCGAGGACCGCCGAAGACTGTGTCGGCACTCTTTCGGCGGCTTTCAGAGGCCAAGATGCGTGGCGAGGGGTCCATGATCGATCAGGAGGGGGAAAAAACACAGACACAATTAATCGCCGATTCCCAGGAAAACGTGTGAAAATGTGGGAAGTGGGGGGGAAGACGACAAAATCCCAGAAAGTATTGGAACATGTGGGGGATCATTTTGTTTGTCTGCATTTCTTTGCGTGTCCCAGGGCCCCTTCAATCGAACGCGTAAGGAGGAGAGGCCGGCCACGCAAATATCAACTCCAGATCGCCCCGTTCGGCAAGGAGGACGCCGCCAGCCCGGCGCGCGCCCTCGCGCGGCCCCTCGGCCTCCCCGGCGTCGGCCGGGGCTCGGCGCCTCCCCTCCCGGGGGGGGAGGGGGAGGAGAGGGAGCGAGGGAGGGAGGACGAGGAGGGAGAGAGGGAGCGAGGGAGAGAGGACGAGGAGGGAGGGAGGGAGGGAGGGGGAGGGAGGGGCGAGGAGGGAGGGAGGGTGGAAGTAGGAGGGGGAGCAGGACGGGGACGAGGAGGAGGCGGCGGTGGGCGCAGCGGAATGGCAGAGTGGGCTTTGGCGAGGAGGAAGAGGATGCAGGGAAGAAAGGAGGAAGGGTCAGGGGGAGGAGGAGGGGGGAGGAGGAGGAGGAGGAGGAGGAGGAGGAGGAGGAGGAGGAGGAGGAGGAAGGAGGAGGAGGAGGAGGAGGAAGAGCATAATGGAGAGAGGGAGGGGGACTACGAGCAAGAGGACGAGGATAAGGCGGAGGAGGAGGAGGAACATTTGTGATACGACGAAGACGAGCAGGGAGGAGGAGGAGGAGGAGGAGGAGGAGGAGGAGGAAGCAGCGAGGACAGGACGATGGAGACCAGGCAGGAGGAGGGAGGGAGGAAGGCAGGAGGCATCTTATTCCTGACATGTCCCGCCCACGCAGCAGTCGACGACGGCGTGTCGTCAAGGTGTCGAAGTCCCGCCTGGGCAAGCGGCGCCCAGTGACTCCATCCGTTCGCCCTGTGTGTCCTTCGACTTCCTTGTGTTTGGCACCGTGCGGTGCGCTGCAGCGTCGCGCTGCCTCCACGCCTTCCAGCTGTCAGACAAGCTCGGAAGTCCAGGTGAGTTCTCGAACTGTGGGTCGTGGGGGGGCGGGAGGGGTGGATGGGAACTCCTCCTCCATGCCCTGCTTCACCACCCACCAAACCAGCCCAACCCAACCCGAAGGTCCCAACTTGCCCTCCATTCCCAGTGGGGGGTGCGTCGGGGAGCATTGAAAAAGACGGATGTGAAACCCGTCCCCCCCCCAACCCGAAATGTGCGTCTTCCGGTCAGGTTGTGGTGGTCTGGCGAGTAGTCCCTGCTGTCACCACGAGTGCGCTCCTAGCGCGGTTGGTGTGCATTCGGTGATCTCAGGGAGGCCCTTCCCCGTCTGCCGGCACCACGTGTGCACCGCTGGCGCGGTGGGTGTGCGGCAGGCAGGGCCCGTCCTCAGTCGCATACCGGTCGGTGATCGTGGCATTCGCACTCTGGGCCGCGGTGCGCTCGCTCCTCGTTTGGGCCCCCCCAGGACTCGGCATCGTAAGACCTGCCGCGTCCCCATTGAGACCTGGCGTTTTAGGTAATTATGTGTTTTATGCTTGTTGGGGATAGGCCTCTCACAACCTTG